GCTTGATGATAAACTATCTAGGCCTAGCAGTTTTCTTCTGTCAGTGCCGTTAGGAACGAACTGGTAATTGACACCACTGCAACGCATAATGAGTTTCCGAGTGAAATTGTTTTGAACACTTTCAAAAAGAGCGATGTCTTTCTTTTTGTCACCACTCCCTGATGTTTCCGATGCCCAGTTTATAAAGGTTCTCGCTCCTTGAAAGGGTAGAAACTTTGCCAAAGATTCCCCCATGAATTGACCACTGATGACAGGAGTGCGACACGAGTTCCGTCTATAATTTTTGTCCTACTCCACCCGTACGCCCTGGTTGAACAAAGCCACTACTGCAGTTGAGAAGCTCAGGTTTCATGACAACCACACCTAGAATCCCAGGGACTGGATCGAACAGAAGAGGGTGAAAAGTGAAGAAATTCACCACAAGGTCGTGCTCCACCTCTTTTGGAGCGTTCTCGAGTAAACCACTAGAGACATCTCCCTCATTATAGCTATGAAGTCAGTCAAGTCTATGTGATCAACGGCAGAGACTCACGGCGAAACTCCAACAACTGTCCTTAAAACTCGAAAAAGTATGTCCGCTCCACGACAACCGAGACGACGCGTTTCGAAATGACGCGACTCTAGATATCGAAGCTTAGCTGAAAAGTCCTACCATATCCATCGTGCAGCGGTGATCAACCCTCTTTCGAAAGGACATCTGCCTTTCTGCTCAGCGCCTTCTTCCACGACAAAAAATACGATTCCCATAGCACCTCAAAATCGACCTCACTGCCTTTTTCAGCTCATAACTGCCAGCCTTCTGAGAGTTAAGCGCCACTCTTTGGTTGGATGTTGGTAACAAGTCACTGATAGTGGTGGTACATATAATGATGATAGGATTGCACATGTGCTTGAAATAGAGTAGGCTCAAAAAAAAGTTCAAAATACGCACGAACTTCTGAGACAACCTAGTATATCCATGATACTTTTCAGCCCATCAGCGCATGGAAGCTCGAGATCGTCGGACGATTTAACTACTCTGAAATCACATAAGAAGTCTCACTTGAGTGAGGTAGTGTTTCCTACTTACTTCCACTTTAACAGTAATGCCGTGTAAGTTATAATTTCATTGGAGATATTCCCAAATCGATATGGTCAAGAGGCGACACATTTGCTATTCGTGGACCGAGCTGTGTACATATTTATGCAATTTGCCAATCTTCGTATGTCGAAGAACATCAGTCTTTCATGTTTGCGTCGATTCGTCAGGTGTGTTCAAGTTTTCACTGGCAACGATTCTGAGTTCCTTTTGATCGGTGTTCTCTCTGAGACACGATGCGGCATCATTCATACTATCAAGCACTGCTATGCCTTAATGGCAGCGATTACGATAGGTTTTAAAAATGCTCAGAGGGGACGTGGTGGTGCTCAATGGTACGCCACTTTTGAGAAATCCGTCAAGAAAACGCAAAACGGGACCCTTTTTTGGCCGTTGGTTTTCACTCATGAACAGGTAACAGCTCAGAAAGCGGACGTATGAACGAGTTCACCGCAATGCGTTTGGTGGCACCATGCCAAACCACGCTCCAATCGAGTTGCTCCAGTTGTGCCGCTGCTGGCAACGCAGCTCGTCCAAATCACCAACTAAACTAGTGGGCGGATCGCTTTTGGGGGCGGAGTGCTTTCGAAGTCCTGCTCAGCAACCAGCGCACCTTTCGTCGTGAAAGCGCACACCTCGCTTCCTTGGCAGCCAAGTAACTGCTTCGTGTGGTGCATATGCTTCCCCGATGCGCTTCCTCTTTATCGTAATCGCTTCCTTTAACTCCTTTGATCCGGAGGATGGCCACTGTTCAGGCAAGAGAGCCCAAGCAGGAGAAATGGATCGCCTTGAAGGGATCGGAACAATTGCTCCAAGTGGTGGCGCGCACGGACCTGCAGCACATTCTTTTGGCGCCTACTCCCCATGATCCGCTTCTGCATCGCTTCTCCATACATCTTTTACGAATGGGTGAATGCTGTATTTTCAGAGATTGTGGCCTCGAACGGTACTTCCATACGGGTGAACTCGAAAGCCTTTTTGCCGAGATTAGTCATCATTATACTGGCGATGCTAACAATAACAAAGGTAACTGATCTTTTCGAGAAAGTTTTTTTCTTCAAAGTTAGATGAATCCCACCACTAAAACTGTGATTTGGATCTGCAACCTCCTTCCAGGTAGGACCAAGCGGTGTGTTGGCCAAGCTTACGGCTCAGTATGGAGAGATTCCCCATTATTGGTTCCTTAGGTAGCCCCTGGTACACAGTAAAAGTCAAAGCATTCAATGTTCGACCAATCGTTTTTTTTTTGGCTGCGACAGAATTTCTACTTCTATTTGAGATTATAGTGGTATTGTGTATGCAGTTTGACCTGTACATAAATTTCGCGGTGCCGATGTTTAGGCCAGTGTGTTTGTCCCTCCTGGCACTTCTGGTACCACTGAATTTACCATGGAAGGATGGAGAGCTGCGTTGGCATGAGGGATTTGTCCAGGATTCGAGCCTATAATCCCGCCATTCCGGCGCTACTTGATATTTCTACCTTGACGACAGGGTTTACGATTGGAAGGCAGAAATGAAATCAACTCAGATTTGATCAGTGATGCCGGGATGGAGAAAAAATCATGAGAAACCGCCCAGAACCCGAGAATTGAGACCCTCTCTTTGCCTGTCGGTTTGCGCACCGACGCGACCCTCGTCGGGGCTGTCCTCTTCAAGGAACCCTCCCTCTGCTGAGCGGAGGCTTAGACAGCGAAAGGTAGGCGTGCCGCGCCAATAGCGGCGCGTGGACCGCCGTGTTAAATCGCTGGGACATATCCCTAACTGCAAATTGTGTCTCGATCCGCACCATTGATAGGTCCGCTTTTTTTCCTTTCAAATAGGTTTTCCTTCTTCAAATTCCGACCTTATCGTGGGATCCGCTTCACAGGAGATTCTACGATAATTTTGGAGGTCGAAGATGGGGATCCGGAAGGAAGGCAGGTCCCCTAATGGTAGGGGACGACGCGCGTTTCGCAGCACAGAGTATGCCCCGGCAATCTAGCAGGGCGATACCCCGTGTCTGACTTTATCCGTTCGGCAAAGGGAGCATTAGCGTTTAAGAGGGTAGCACGGGTGCCATTCGTATCAATGCTTGGGAAAAAAAGAAGAGAGGCCCATTTCCCGAGTTGTGGGTCATTTCTCATGGTTTTCCTTCATTCCTGCACCACCTACCTCCCCTATTGTATCTTGATTTCCAGTGGTCTCCCTTTCCATCTGAACATCGCCTTCAAACCTTACTATAACTTATTTTTTAACTTCAAATAGTTCGTCGCATCGGGGAAGAGATCAATAGAATTCCCCGTCCACCATAAAAGTCCTATTTACGTCTCTTCCAGAAATACAATGCTCATTTCACCAAATTCCCCTTTCAATACCACAACTCGACACCCTCGTTTGTAAATTCCTACAGATCATTGGCCTTTCCGCCAGATCGTTGACGCCCTCACAGCAGCGTACCGTATGATTTACGGCATTGTGATCAATTATTTAAGGATTACCTTTTCACGGCTTCATGGAAATGTTGACTATTGTATCTAAACGCCGTTATCCCGAAGAGATTTCTCTTCAAGTGGCGCTACAGGACTTGTTGAATGTCTGTGCAAGCGCTCTGCGAAACAGAGGAGTGAGATCACAGAGACTGCGTCGGGAAGAGGTCAAGAGGAAATCAGAAGAGTAAGTGCTTTTTTCACGTTTTGACAGATGTAAAACCTTATAAGAGGTGGAGACTCGATGGTGACCAATCATGGGGTGCTCCATGTACTCGGTTCCCTTTCAGAATTGTTTGAAACTTGATTTGAAACATACACTAACTTGTGTGAAACAGCCGGTACACAAACTAATGCTTTTCCCATTTCACGCTCAGTCGAGTCTGGCAGTATACTGACCAACTGCGTGTGCATGGAAGGTTTTGCTAACCTTTTTCACGCCATTCTTCCCGACTCGAGCGTGGGGTGTGATATGAAGCCCTGCTAATAAGTCCACAGTACGTTGTCGCGTTAAGAAGAGTCTTTCTAAAGGCACTTCTATTGCCTGTATGTCAACACCAAGAGTGGGACTACGCGAAAAGCAATGTTAAGGAACAATTCCGAATTTTTCATCGAAATCCCGACCATACTTTGCAAAGTTTTTTTTTGAATCAGAGAAATGAGTGGAACTTCCTCAAAGGTAAACCCCAGGATTAGCCCAACTTGTGGAAAGAATACCGCGAGGGAAGTAAGGTCCGTACTTCTAGATCACTCCAGCTTCGTCGCAAAAATTGCGCGGTTAGGGCGCTAATCCTTACGGGCCTGCAACCATCGACCCCGTTGCAACGCTTCCCACCCACCTTGATGTAGAGATCAGCGTGCTCTCTCGAACGGCGTGATCTCTCGCGTGTTTTGTCTTCTTTGATCGCCCTGTCTCGCCATCGTACCACATCCGACCTTATTGAAGGTTAAGGCCTTAATTTCAGCGTTCCCAAAGATTTCTCTTGCTTTCCTCTCCACTTTCAGGTCGTTCCGCAGCCAAGTCATCACTGCGTTTTTATCACCAGTTTTATCCCGGGACTTGCCTTTGGTAAATCCTTATGCCGTACTAAAAACCCTACTACTGCGTTAAAATGCTAGTCCCACTAAGACGATACTGGCCAAAATAAACAATTCAAATAAGCCCCGCTACCGAGAAATCGTTAACCATGGTTAATCCTGGTAACACCCCTCACCTCACCATCTCTGATCGTGCAGTTATAGAATTCGTTTTCACGAATTTTCTGATGATATTTTAGTGCGAAAAGAATTTATATGCTGCCGAGGCACGTTCGACATCACAGAGGCCGATCAAAGTCATGCGAACCGATCTCGCCGATCAAAGTCAGTTTCCCATTTGAGAATGCCTTTATAAAGGTTGCTCATTTTAGCTCAATTTACTTTCAGATCACCGTTGAACGCAAATCTGATACAAACAATAACAGCGTGAAGCATCTCTCGTTGCCTTCAATTTCGCGGAAATAGCTGGGTACGGATCGCCGCAGTAGGATGTGTTAACTTTGTTCTACGGTTACTGACTTGTCTAGTTTTTGTTGAATTTGTGGTGTATAGGCCGACCTGAGCTGTCGTTCGTTTTGGTGAAATGCATGTTTGAATTTGTAGACGAGTCATCTCTAATTGTGATCTACACCGAGTCTTTTCATAACTTTTTCGGAGTTCTCAGAGTTGTAAAGTGTTCATGGGGTATGTTTTAGTCTGGTGACTTGTTCAGGCATTAACAGGAGCACCGAACACATTTCAGGAATCGCTGTACAGTGATGTAGCCTTTTGTGAAGATGTGAATTTTCATGTTGTAGGTCAACTTTACTGTTCAAAAAATTTTGTTCTCAGCGAATCTGTGTTAATTATTGTGGAGAATAGTTAGGTAGGTTGTAGAAGCAATACTGCAGATGAAGCCACCGACCGACAAGATATGTACGTCTTGTTCGCGATCCACATATGCTATTATAATGGGGGGGGGAGGTCACTCAAGATGTGACAGGCGAACATGGCGTCCAAGAACTGGCCACGGGAACGCAAGCTTAAGGCCCCCTTCATGGACCGCGGTTAGGCCGATGTCATAGTTTGCGAATCGAGCGATTCGCTAGCGAATCGCTCGATTCGCAAACTATGACATCGGCCTTAACGCGATTTGACGATTTGACGATTTAGCGGTTATGGTGAAAGGAATGTATGCGTATCGACTAGAGGATCGTCGACATATCGTATCGACGAATGGTTATTGGGCGGCGTCAGTTCAATCAATGTGCACCCTAGTCCTTTGAACATAACCGCCAAATCGTCAATCGCTTTATCGCGTAATCGGCAAATTTTAGATCGATACCTATGTTTGCCTTTCAGCATTAGCGCCATTTCGTTTCAACCGCGATGCATGAACGGGGCCTAAGCGGTGGTTCCGGTGAAACTCATTCTAACATGATTAGCTCAGTACTACTCACCCTTCTTACTTTGGTCATTTGGTCAATGGTCAATATGAAGTGTCAGTGAACCTACTCCAGCCTGACACACTCCAACTTCACCACAAAATTCACAGGGAAGTTCCCATCCGTGAACACCTAAAATCTCAAGCGCGATACCCTACTTCCACCACGGCAATACCGCCTTCTCTCAAAAAATCCTCGATCTGGCTCAACCTAGGACATGAACACTCTCTCGAATGTTGTTAGTTCACG